ATCAATGTATTGAGTAGATTGAATGAGATTACTGTGTGACCACTTAAGAATACCATGAAGCTTTAAAGATTAGTCCTATAAACTAACTGTGGTGGTAAATTTTATTCTATCATCTTGGTTGGACCCATGGTGTACAGATGTTTAGTCAGACATTATTTTGGATGTTTCCTCAAAAGGAATGTGTGTGTATGTGTGGGGAGGGGCATATGTGCATGCATGGAGACAGGATATTGATGTCATCTGTCATTCAATCTCTTTCCACAGGGTCTCTCACTAAACTGGGAGCTAGACTGGATGGACAGCAATCTAGCTGGCTCTCACTATACAACACTGGCATTACAAGTATGTGTTGTTGCACCCAGATATTTTTGCATGAGTTCATGGGATCTGAACTCAGGCCCTCAACTTCCCAACAGACCCCATGATTTTAATTTTAATGAGTGTATTATTGAAATATATGCAATCAGAATAAAGTAGAATATTGTCAGGAATTTTATTCAGTAGGTTAAAGACTCTGACAGCTTACGCTCTCCTAAGCAGGCAAGAACTCTACCAGCCAACGCCTTTGGGTTGAACTCATCTCTGAGTCTCAGGCTGCTGGCCTGACTTGTAGATCCTAAGAAAAATCCATCATATGTGTCGTTTGTTCTATTTGTATTCACTTTTTGTTAGAAATCACATTTTATCCTTCTCTCATATATTACATCCACACTGCATTTCCCCCTTTACTCCTCTCCCCAGTATCGGGCCTCCCACCTTCTTCTTCCTCAGATCCACCTCCCCTTTCTCTCCCCTCAGAAAAGAGCAGGCCTCGCAGGAACATCAACCAAACATGGTATAATATGGTACAATAGTATTTGTATTTACTTTTTATCAATCCTGAAAGATTGGAGAATGTTAATACAATATTTGTCTATTTCAATTATTGGCTATAAAGCTTTCTTACTTGTTTTGTCTCTGCTTTTATTTCAGATGCTATCTAGTTTATTCTTTCCTAAATCACCAAAGAAAAGATTTAAAATCTCATTTTTCTCCTTATTGAATTTATTTCAAGTAATTTTTTTCTTTCTATTATTTTCTTGTATACTATCTCTGAGACATGGGGAAGAAATAATTTTTTGGCAGGCATAGTGTATATCTCACTCAGAGCTGGGATATTAGTGACATTTAGCTAAGGCACTTCTTGCCACCCCGCATATTTCAACACACTGTGATTCTTAGTCATGACATTTAGATTACTAACTCACCACTTGACACAACTTACTCCCTGCTACCCCAAGGTCATGTCCGAGTTTCCCCAGAAAACTCGCTATAAACCCAGACACTAGCTATGCCCAGTTCTTTCTGGCCGCACAATCCACACTTTTGAATAAAAATTTCTCCAGAACATCTTTGGTTTTTCTCTCAAGACAACGTTTCATTTGGCATTTCTCAAGTTTGTCTTCAGAAGGCTTCATGAACATCATAATCGCACAAAGCATGGGCTGAAGAAGAAGCTTTATTCACTGATGAAAACAGAAATCCCAAGGGAAATCTGGAATAAGATCAACCCCAAGACCCTATCTCCCTTCTGTTTTAGAACTTCCCCAAATAGCAAATCCAGCTGAAGACAAAACTAAGAATACAAAAATAGCCTTCTTTTCTTTCCTTTTTTTTTTTTTTTTTTTGGGTATGACCTACACCATAGCACAATTGTCCCCCCCCCTTTTTTTATTGGTAAACATGGAGTTGCTTATAATCATACAGATAGATTTCAATTTAAAACAAATTGAATGTCTTTATTTGATGTTTTAGAATATCAGGCTCCAATGTATGTAAAGTGTAGACATTCTCAGAAAGAAAAGAAAACAACAAAAACAAAAGCAGAAGGAACAAATATCCCCAAATCTTTAACTAGCTGGTAAGTAGCTAAAGGGATTCTTGACTCATGTATGGAAGGAGATATCTACTGTATGTGAGATTAGAGAGTGGAACGGCTGGCTAATTGGGGCCATACCAACCACAACTTCCCATTGGGCCTGCCAAATGTGCCTTAACTCAATGATTACTACCCATATCATTACCCACCTCCAAGAATATCTAAAACAAGAACCCCTCTGGTGGTCAGGCTCCAAATGTCTTGTCTACTGAACATTGGCATTGCAGGTCCTGTACTAGCAATGGTTTGTTATTCCTCCGATGGCTCATAGAAGGTTATGACACTTACAGGCTCTTATAGTACCTTTATACTTATCATTACCTAGAAATTGATTGTGGCTTCATAAAACCTGTTTGAGTATGTGTGCCACATATAAATATGCCTTTCACCTGTACATGTGAGGCAGCAGAGGGGCAGTTTTCAAACTATAGGTTGAGCCTGGGACTGTAGATTTGAAGTTAGAGGATATCAAGTTCAAGTTCTTTGTCTTACTAGTGAGAGGATCCAGAGACCCTGGGAGGCTTTCCTCTGCTCATATAGTGGATATGTGTGGATCCACATATCATTTATCACTAATGCTAATAAGCCAGAGCTCTTGATCCCCAGTGGTGGATAGAGGCCCTACCACTGAGAACTAGATCAACAGTGGAATACTTGGGCCTTGGGAACCATGTTGCCACCCTCTTGCCCTATGACATGTTCTCACCAGAGACAAATTTTAGCATTTGTTATTTATAAAATAGACCTTTGTCTTGGGATAAAGGCTGGAGGGACACCACAGGAGACAACTGAGGATAAGTTAGATACTTTAGATATTTTCACCTTGCTTTCACTTCAAACTCAAGATACCTCCACAGAAACTGCTTGAAGCAAGTTGAAAGGAAAAAGCCAGTCTGACCAGTGTGCTGTACATCACTTATTCGGAGGTTTGAGTTACTTCCATTCCTAGGTCTTTTATTGTTAATTTTAAAACTTCTGGATACCTGGGCTTCCCTGAGGAGGCCTCTCTGGTACCTACAGTCTTGCTGGGGCCTGGCTGCCACTGTAAGTAACTTCTAGAGCAGTGGTTCTCAAACAGTGGGTCACAACCCTGTTGGATTGGAATGACCATTTCACAGGAGTTGCCTGAGACCATCAGAAACACAGATATTTACATTAAGATACATAATAGTAGCAAATAACAGTTATGAAGTAGCAATGATTTTTGTATTAAAGGACTGCAGCACTGGGAATGTTGAGAACCACTGCACTAGACAGATACTTGGCCCCTTTGTGGCTTTGCTTAAGATTGACTTGTGGTCCTTGTCCTCCTAGGTCTGAGCATATTAGCTACTATCATTCCCACTCCTATTCCTCATTCTAAGTAGCTGTCTAGTTGCTCTCTGCAGGGGATGTCTCCCTCTGTGTATTTGCCTGGTTTTGGAAACTGTGCCAAGCCATTGGTCCTCTTGAGCACCAGATGCAACTCCATGGCAGTCAGAAGAATAGCTTGCCTGGGGTGCATGGTTACACATGCACACACGCACACACACACACACCACACACACACACACACACACACACACACACACACACACACACACACCTCTTCTCTCCTAAACAGCTATGGATGGGATCAGCTTCTTGTTCCAATAGAGATACAGACACACTGGAAAATGAGGAAGCTTGCATTAGCTTGGGTACAGTGCTTCCAAGGAAGAGAAATGGCAAAGCCCCAAGTCTAGGGCATTAGCTTTGGAGTCAAGAGAACTTGGCTTGGGACCCCAGACCTGCTATAATAGAGAAATATTAAAAGTCAGTCTCTAGCTGTCAGACATTTTGATAATCCAGAGAGATAATTAGCCTCTTAAGCTCAAGATGCTGAAACAAATTTAAAATGTGTCTTTGCCAACCACCCTAATTCTGCACAACCAGGCTACTGCAGAGCCACACCCCACATAAGCACAGCACTCAGCATACTTGGTACATAGTACATAGTCTTTCATGCCCTTCTTACAATAGCTGTTTTGCCAAGCAGCAGCTAGATGCTGAGGTCCCAGGCCCAGCTCCCATAGGGCCATTACTCTACTACTCTGTCAATAATCAACTCCAAGCCCCTCTTCTTAACAGCATCCAATCCTCTGAGTCTCCATGCATTGCCTGGAACACATGGAGAACATTTACAGGGTCTTCACAGTGACTCACTTCACACATTCACCTTTCGTGCATTCACTTACTTAGCATGGCTGCATTATTCCTGTGAGCACCACACTTAAGGAGCACAGTGATGGGGATCTTTTACTACCGTTGTTATAACAACGGCAGCATCAGTATCAGTTATACTGGGTGCTCTTTTATTTCAGCTGATACACTATCATTTGTACCCCCTCAGCAGTACTCAGTCCTGGCTGGTAAGTCACCTGAAAGACATTTAAAAACATCAGTGCCTGGGCCTTACTCAACAGTTCTAAAGTTAGGACAGCTAGGAATGAAAATTGTGGCTTACTTCTTATTTGAAGAGGCTGAAGCTTGGCGAGGTGAAACAAATTGTTCTAGGAAATTGGCTGGACAGAGCCTTGTTTAGAGCCTGACTTTGTTTTTTGAGATAAACACTAGACCAAAAGCAACTTGGGGGAAGAAATGGCTTATGTCAGCTTACAGGTGTAGTTCACTGTGAAGGGAAATCAGGACAGGAACTCAAGACAGGAATTTTGAGGCAGGAACTGAAGCCTGGACCGTGGAGTGCTGTTTACTGGCTTGCTCTCCCTTTCTTTCTTTTTTTTTTTTTTCTTCTATTATCTTCATTTTATTCAAATAATGGAAAAGGGCGGGAGAGGACTAATGCTTAATAATCTATACAAAGGCCATTAACGCCGAATTTTCCCTTGTGGCTTAAAAAAAGATTTATTTCCATCCCAAGTTCTTCATGAAAGATTGGGGAGTGGCTATCTGTCACAATGAAAAACAGTTACTTGGTGCTTTCATGAATGAGCATCCTTGAAAGAGGCATCCATTGTGGACTGTAGGTACATGACAGCTCCCCCTAACCCTGTGGGCAACAGCAGGTGCCAAAGCCACTGGTGAACTATCTATCCTTCTAGTCTTCAGTCTGCTCACTTCCGCTTGTGCTTTTTCTTCTGTTCCTTCCGTTGTTGTGCTCTCAGGTCCTTCTTCATCCTTGAGTCCACTACCTTGAACTGACCTTTGACTCCTGCTGGCCACCGGACCTTACGGCCTAGGCCTTTTTTGGCTACAACATAGGTGACCTGGCGTTTCTCCTTGCCAAGTCCAGCCTTCTTGTAGAGACTTCGCAGTTGTGCCACCTTTTCTCGTTCTGAGATATCCACAGTGTTCACCACAGCTTCTGCCTTCTTTTTGGTCTGCTCCAGCTTCTTCAGCATCCTCCGTTTCTTTCTGTTTGCTTTCTTATAGCACCCAGAACCACCTATCTGCCCAGATGGTATAGCCTATAGTGGATTAGGTCCTCCCACATCAATCATTAATTTAAAAAATTCCCTACAGACTTTCCTACAGGTGGTCTGGTGGAGGAAGTTCCTCAGTTGAGTTTCTTCTTCTCAGAACACTCTAGCTTCTGTCAAGTTGACAATAAAAAAATAAATAAACAAAAACGAAACCTACCTGGAACAGAAACAAAGCTGGTTATTTCAGGCCCTGGACAGCAATCTTGTTTGGACTCCTTTTCTAGTTCAAAGAATAAATAGTTTATCTTCAACTGTCACTTTAACCAGATCTGGAATCACCTAGGAGACACACCTCTAGGTGTATCTATGAGAGCATCTCTAGAGATGTTTACTCAATGGAGGAAGACCTACCCTCGGCAGCAACATCCCATGGGATACCAGATTAAATAAAGAGAGAGGAAGCAAGTGGAGTGCGGACATTGAAATGGCTCTGTTTCCTGATTGCTGTAACAATGTGACCAACTGCTTTGAGCTTCTGCTACTCAGCCTTCCAATAGGATGGACTGTATCTGTCTTAAACTGTGAGTTCAAATAAACCCTTCTTCCCTTGAGCTGCTTCTGACAGATATTTTGTCACAGCATCGAGAAAAGTAACTAACAAAGGAACATATCCTAAGGGTTGATTTTTATAAAACAAGAAATGTCAGGTTTCTCTCTGCTTGCCTCGGAACATACTCATTTCCCAGACAATTCTTGTGCTATTTGCCACTACCAAGGCCCAGGCTAGACCTTTCTGAGATGCAGCAATCCTTCTGCTATTCCAGGAAGGGAAGCAGACAAGAAGGAACCAGCTGACTAAGATGCCCCTTTTATGACAATCAGGGTAGCCATAAGCTGGGGTTGCTCAGGGAATCCAGGGGAGACTCCTGATTGTAGAGGGGGGAGTTGGGAGAATGGCAGTAGCCTATACTGGGAAGTAATATTTGTGCTGAGTTTTAGAGGGGAAAAGTGATGAGTTTTCTTGGCAAAACAGGGAATACAATGTAAAAACCAAACCAAAAAAAAAACTAAAGCAAGTCAACACTGAAAGCATCTAAACCCCAAATAATCATTCAGGAGATGTGTGTGGGATTTGAAGGGGCATAAGTGATGGAGAGTGTGAGCTGCTGCATCTGTGGGAGAGATGAGGCTGGGAATTGGGCAGAGTATCCAGAACCCCTGCATGTCCAGTAAGGGCTGAATGTTATAGGGGAGAGGCTAATGGCACAGGGGCTGTCAAAGGACACTTTTAGAAGCATCAGGTCACAATGTGAAAAGCATGGCTCAGTTGGCCACATGGAGGCTGGACTGCGATGCACTGTCCAAAGACAGAAATGCACACAGGGAAGAAATAGTGGACTCTGAACTAGAAAAGAAGTCTTAGAAGTCCTGATACAGAGAAAAGCTGAACAGAGAAGGACTTTGCTAGAGACACTGTGACAATGAGGTCAGGCAGACAGAAAATGTAAAGACAGTCAAGGCTGTATCCCAGACTTCTGACTTGAACACCTGGGTAGATGGTGGTGTCCAGTGTTAGGGAAGCACACTACTTCTACCTGCTGTCTTAGGATGCACTACCATAATGAAGTATAATAGATTTAACAACTAAAATAGTTTCTTGGACCTACAGAAGGAGAGGCATTGTTGGATCTGTGTTGGAATTTGTTGTTTTGCAGAAGGAGATAGAAGGGAAGATGCCTTCATAGGAGGGTTAGAAATAACTTGTGAATTAATAATGAAGACTTCCTGATAGAAATGTAGAAAGTTAGGGTCCTGAGAACTTATCTGTGTACGAACTTCGACTAAAACTTGGAAATAGCAGATGAGTAAGAAGTACCCTTTTCTTGTGGACTTTAGATCTTAGATAATCATATCTTCTAGGTGGGTGACTCTCCTGGAAGGTCAACCCTTTAGACCTTAGATACCCATGGATCATGGACATCCTGCCTCTGAACATAAAGGTTCTTGAAGATGACCTTGTCACCCTCCTCTCTTAGACATATCTATCTCCAATTCCTTGGGTTGGACTATCTGCTTACTCCACTCCTAAGTGTCTTGTTCTCATGAATTGTGCTCTAATTTTTAAGAAGTTTTTACTTGTTGGAAAGAGTACCTCTTTGATCTCAGATTAGAGTGCATGGGTTTTATCCAGTTAATCATGTATCTGGCATTAGGCTTTGCCAGCTTTTATTTCTTTGAGGCTGTACAATATTCAAAGAGTTTGAGCCTGCCCCTGTAGCCAACATGGCTTGACTTCAACAGTCACTAGTGTCTTCATTTTTTTCATCTCTTTTATGATAATTCATCATCCTAAGAGTTCAAGAGAAGGTGGGTTTTTCTAAAGTGGCCCTCAGATCTAAGAAATTACTGATGGGATAAGACATACCCTAGCCCGGAAATGCTGAGAACGGAAACCAGGAACTGGAAGGTATTACAGTGGGCACTGAGACTGAGCTGTAGCCCTTGTTCGGGTGGATCTTAAGAATGCATAGTTTTCTCTCATGCAGGGAAAGTAACCATCAACTTTATTTTGTTCTAGTGCTTTTCATGTGCAAAGTACATTCATTCCATCTTTTCCTTAACCTCTCAAATCAGCTCCCACATAGTAGAAAGGGTGATAAAGTACGCTAAATTTTGCAAAGGAGAATTTCTAAGACTGATTGCAGGATTTACTCCCTATATCGTGGGTAGCAGACACAGAAGTGAACACTTACTGAGATTTAGCATGGCTCTTCTATATATGGACTTAGTTAATTCATAGACGCATCTGTGAAGTAAGTACTGCTGTGCCCATTTGAATATTAAGAACTTTGATCCACCAGATTTGGAAGCAGCTGCCTCAGAGTTGTCCAGAAGCGGGAAGTCTAAGTCACCACTGACCCCTTATAATCAGACAGTCAGTCTGCTGTATTGTGTTTCAGCTCCTCAAGCCCAACTGTAAGGGAATAATTGCATTTCTACTGAGTTAAATATTGAAAGAAGAACCATGGGCAGGAGGCATGGGTCATCTCTTCTGTTTACAGATAGAATTGGAAATGTGCTTTCCTATGTATAAAATGAAAGAAGTCGCTAAGACATGAGCCAGTCAACCACGTGTTTCTGATAGAATTCTGAGCTTTCCAGCAATCAGGCATCCTAAACCAAGTTGAGGTTCCCCAAGCTGGAGTGTGTGCTGCTCTAGACCACAGGCCAAGCCTGTGTGGGGAAGGCCTTATTTTCTCAGCCTTTTTGTTTATTTTCCTCAACTTACGCATTCTGAGGTCTTACAGGGCTCTGGGAATGGAGAAGCTAGTATGGCAGCAGCTTTTCATGGTTTTTGGACTGAGTGAGCCTAGCTCCATCTCTAAGGTAGTTAGAAATTAAATCCAAACAAGCTAAACACATTTCACCTTTGAGGCAGAGAATTTACCAAGTCCAACGACAGGCAGACTTCAAAATCACTGGGCAGGAAGACATTCTTTGAAAACTGGAAGAGCAAAGTGAAGGCTTCCATTCTGCACTCTAGATACTTCACTGTATTCTCTCTTGGAACTATGTCTCCCCAGGGTTTCTTGTAAGGTCACTGGGTCTCAGCTTTGATGGACAGCAAAGGGAAACAAGCTAGTTTTACTTTGGGCCAGGCGCTCCTACAATGTGTGTCCTTTCATCTCCATCCAACTGCTTTCTGAAGTGGCTATTGTGGCTGGATATACAGATGAGGAAGCTGAGGCTCTGAGTGGCATGGTATTATGCCTCGGGGAGCCAGCTGATCTTGCATTGGAGCCAGAATACCAGAACTCCTAACCCTGTTCTGTCGTCCTCATTCTACAGCATGCACCAATATGCATGTTTAGTCTTTTCAGAGGCTCACTATACCCTAGTCTACTGGTAATCATAGCTGTGTAGGGCCAAACCCTTGTTCAAGAGTATCAATGAGCAGTTCAGGGGTGACCACCTTCTTGCTCTTGTTTTCCTCCTTTATCAGACTCAGCAAATGCCACAAAAGCAACAGATACCAAATAATTGCTAATTTTCATACAATTCAATATTTTCATGCACATACCCCCCCCTCAATTCCTTTCCTTAAGGTCAAGGGCCAATGAAATTTTGGGTAGTGTTTTCCTTTACCCCAATGTAACTGACTCTTACCACCCTCCCTGGACTTCTTCCTCATCTTTGTAGGGTGATATCATTTCAATTGTGACCTCTTCCATCTCAAAAGCTCTAATCATAGGTGCAATGGAAAGCTGGGTTATCCCAAGCATGTTGTATAGGGAAGTTATACTTTGGACTCCACAAATTCCCAAAGCTATGGTTCAGGGTCTGGTTTTCATCTTCAAGGATCGTAGGCATCTCCTGGGGCTACAAGAAGAATGCTCTAATTTCAGGACAGAATATAGCCCAGAGCCAACTTGGCAAAGGCCAGAAGGATATAAATTCAGAGCGACAACTTAAGGAACATGGTTTTAATAGAAACGTACTTCTATTTCTTCTCCAATCACATGTCAACTGTCTGTTTGCATGGGGAGATCCAAGCTAAAATAAGAGTTGTCAGAATTGGTAATTGAGGGGCTCTGATTTCCCCCCAAAAGCTCTCCTATCCTCCAGATGACAACTTTGAGAGATCCTGTGGGTGGTTGGGGACTTTGTGAAGTCAGCATTGTGAAGCAGCCAGAGAAAAATCTAGGTTGCTTTGTTTTATGCCATGGGGTATAATTCTGGAAAAAAATCATTTAAGAAAACATTAACAGATCCATGGACTGAATTGAACACATGCTGGGTGGCAAGGTTTCAAAAGAGTATAGTGTATTTCCTTTAGGACCATGCTGTCCAATGTAGGCAACAGACCCGAGATTGACCTGGAATTAGAAGTACTGCAGGTGACACAGTAAAAATATTAGGATTGGCATGAGAAGTGGAGAGAGAGCAACTGCTCGGAAAAGACCTAGGGAAGGGTGTGGGAGTTTGCTGTATGAACGTGGAGGAAAGAACATTCAAGAAAGTAGTGTGAACAAAAAGTGAATGGAGAGTTTGGGGAGCTACTCTAAGGTAGTTTGTGAGAGACCAACATTCTGTTTTCAGATATGGTAGAGGAACAGGGGATATCCTTGGAGAATTAGATGGAGACTTGATCGAATATGGCTTTGCACTTGACAACAAGAAGCCCCAAATGCCCCTTCTAACAAGCACAGAGAGTATCATGGTCAGAGATACACATTGGAACAATTGCCTTGCCGGCAATTGTTGAAAGTATTGAAAGTGTAAGAGAGCAGAATTAAAGAGATAAAAATGGACAAAGAAACCCTAGAAAGGAAGGTAATATGTAAGGTCTTCTAGGATGGAGTTGATAAATGACAGGACAAAAAGGGACAGTGGATGAAGAAATAGAATCAGCAAGATGGTTAAGAAGTACACTTCAGAGATGGCTGTGATGTTGCCCTGCAGGAGAGCCACTTATTGTCACCTTTTCAGGGGACCACAGCCTCAGCACGGATTCTATTTACTATGAGATGTAAAATGGGCCTTTGCTTAAATGCAAGGACTAGGCTTTACAGGGTTCCTTTCTGCATATACTTCATCATCACAGGAGTTAAGAAACACACATTATTATTATTATTGTCATCATCATTAAAGCTTTTCTCATTACAAAGCATTGCAGAAATAATGTTTGAAATAAATTTAGGAAGAGGGTGGCAAACAGAACTGCTTCGTACTCAGAGTGATGATACCAACTGGAATGATGGTAAATTTAGTTGCTTACAGCACAGTGTGAAATGAAATTTCACAATTTGCTTCCAAGAGTTGTTTATTTCAGCTCAGGATACCCACCCATGGTGAGCAAGAAAGCCTACATTATCTGCTTTCCTCAGCATTGATCTTCATCTTAAAAAAAAAAGTCTTTGTCAGCATGACAGAAATAAAATCAATGTCATTAGATTAAGCTTTATTTCCCTATCAGTAGAGTGCTTGCAAGTTCCCACTCTCATTTCATGGATGAATACACTTTATAGATGTGGAGTAGCAATGTTCTTACAGCGTAGATGCAGTAAATGGTTGGTAGCGGACATCGAGTCACTTCGGGAGGAAGTGCTCCTTGGCTGATAATCTGAGTGTATATTGTACCAAGAGATGACCCTGATTTCTCTGGATGGACAACTTTAAGCATGTTCTTTGTTTCTTTCTATTGATGTTGAACTCCCATCTTCTCACTCGCAAGGCTAAACTCTATCTATGGAAGACAGCACTTCTTCAGGTCACAGGGGACCTGTAGTGGGAGCAGTTTTTACATGGGGATCACAGGTATGATTGAGTTTGGATGGCGGTCACTCCCACATAAGCCCTGCATAGAAAACAGCTCAAATAATTATACCCTGAACTGTTTCTATAATAGACTGACCTCCAATTTTCTATTGAAATGCAATAGTCCCCTCGCTGATTTGGGTCTGACATCCGGCACTGGAGGCTGTGAGCCAGCCAGGTCTACTGCTTCCACGGGTCCATGCCATGTTCTCTCACTCCAGTTTCACTGGATTCTATTACTTGTTTTGAATAGTTTCTTACCCTTTGGCTTCAATGTCACCAGCTTGTCTCACCCTCAACCATCCTCTGAGAAGGATGGACCTCCCTTATCAAGGAAAGAGGATCAATTTTCTTCATCCTCATGGTGAATATCTGCACTGCACTGCCCTTAGCAGGGGGCTGAAAGATGCAGAGATTGACAAGTGCTGATAATCCCACAGAATCCTACAGGATTCCACTTGAGGCTGGCCAGATCTTTCATTCACACAAACGAACATCTTTTTAAGGGCTTGAAGAAATCATGTACCATTAGGCACAGACACTATAGCAGATACGCTTCAGTTCCCCAAAGAGTGGTTTCTGCCTCCCACATTTGTGTGTCTTGGTGGTTCTCAGCTCTTGCTGCTTGGGAATGTTCTCAATGGAAATCAGACTCCAACATCAAAGCTCTACTCTCTTCTTGGAAGCAGCCTTCATCTAAGACAGGTGATGAGAAGCTCAGTTTTCTTGCTTCTCTTTGGGATAACACTGAAGAGCCATCCCCATACCAAGTTCTCCATAAGACTGGCAGAGTCCCATTTGTCCACTTCATTGAAGATCAGCTTCTCTGCCTGCCCAGTCCTTTTACTGTTCCCATAGGGGTTGATTCTGAAGCTCCTCCACAATAACCATTTTGTGAGCAACTTTGCACTCCTAAATCTGCTTTTTATGGAATTTGATCTATAATGATGACAAGCAAACAGACATGATACCTGTTCGCACATGGAGCTGCCTTTGTCCAACCAACTTCTGGCTCTAAGCCAATGGCTTGGTCTGTTGCACCATTCACAGAACACTGAGCCCCCACCCCCAGAAGACCACACCCTCTTCTGAAGCCCTACCTCCTAAGGTTTCCATAACCTTTCAAACCAGCCCCAGCCACTGGAGACCAAATGATCAAACTCATGAGTCTATGGGGAACTTTTTATAAGAAGACTAAGAATGGTGTGAGGATGGAATTTATGAGAAAGAAAAGGAAAAAATATATTTCTGATAGAAGAATTGTTTATAACACACAAGAAGCCCGAAGGAACTGTATTTATGATGTCATTTGTGTTCAGCAATGACCACATGAAACTGCCTGCTGAGATCATTGTCCATATTTACTGTGACACTGAGAGTATTCCCTGCTGCTATGTTGGCCAGGGGTTTATGACTTGTGCCCACATCTGATAACTTCAAGCTGATACCTTTGTCTATTGTGCCATTCAACACTGAGCATTTCTTCAGTCCTCAGCATTACATCCAAAAGGGTGTCAAAGAACACACTATCAAGACTACATTTAGCCTTTTCTAGAGGATAAAAAAACATATAAACCATCAAACGGCAAATATTAAGATGAAGGTCCCTTTCTAAGTCCTTGGGATCAGAGCAGAGGTATGTTCCTGAGCCCTGTTTAATATTTGGTATCAGTAATCTAGACAAAGATAGATAAAGTCCGCTTATCACATCTGTGGCTGACACACAGCTGGGAGGGATAGAGAATGATTGATGACAAAAATCAAACTTCTAAATGATCTCAGTTGGCTGGAATTGCTAGCCAAATCCTGTAAGATGAAGAGCAGCAGGGGTCCTTTAGAGGCTCTGCATTTCCATGCAAACAATCTATTGCTTATGAGTAGGAGAGGGTGCCTGGCTTGGCCCTCTGCCACTAAGAAAGACAGGGATACCACCACCAGGCCTCAAATCTAACTTGCATCAAATGTGCAAATTAAAGGTCCAACTACTCTAATACCAAGAGCCTGTGGTGAGATTATACTCAAGCTGCAGATCACATCTAATGGGACATTGTATGAAATGTCTAGAAGGGGATTTAATGAGACATTTTATGAATCACTTTGTAGATGGAGTGGTGGTGGAGGGTTGGTATCTTTGGATGGAGCTGGAAGTTGTTATGGATTGTCTTCCAGGCAATATTCCATGTGCACAACCCAGGAACTAGACAGCATAGACTA